CTATCAACCTGGTAGATTTCCTTACAGAAAATAAATTAAAAAGGTGTGACCTTGCTGAGGGCTCTAAGTGAAAATGAGGTACATCTTGTCAGAAGCTGAAGAGGCTATTTGAAACAAGGTTTGTTCAATTTGAAAGGCTGCTGCTTCACTTAGATCAAAAGTAAAGATAAAGCAGCAGGATGAAAAGGGCGAAACATTTTCACCAAGTGAAATTAAAAAAACGACACTGAAAACCCGTTCAGCAACACAGTGGCCTTTTTGTATATTTATCTGGGCCTCATCAGCCACACCTTGCCCCTGTGCTCCAAGCATTGCCCCCTGTTGAATACACAAAGGTTGTCATGTCAGGGAAATGATGAGGATTGCTCACAGATATAAATCGTAGGACATATTTGCCAGACAAATACTACACCCCTTCCTTTCAGCAGGTCACCTGAGAGACATTTAATCCTCCCATATTTGACACACACAACAAAAACGATAGGCATATCTCTTGATCTATGCAGCTGGACAATCAGCAATAGGACAGGCAAAAACTTTCTCCTGGTTGCTATGAACGCAAAAGGATATATGTTGCTCAAATGTTTCGCATGGCTATTTCAAAACACCTTATGTACACAACTTTTAAAAATATAGCAAAAGTTTAATTTAGTTTAAGATTCAATGTATTCATCTTCACGAAAGTAATACATGCAGCTATTTAAAGCAGTAAGCAGTAAAAAGCTCACTTGCTGTGGGATCAAAGGTTACAAATCTGTTCCGAGTAATTATTTCTTTGAAACATAAATAAAAATTTTACGCAATATTTAATTTATTATTATAGTGGTATTAAGTATTTTAATGGGATCTTTTCTTTGGAATTTTTGTAAGATGCATAGGCATGTTAAATTTTTTCCAAGGGAGCAATGGACAATTCAAAATATAAAATACAACCAAATAAATTTTCTGCTTATTAGCCATGAATCAGTCAATATTTAGCCCAAATCATAGAAGGTTGTGACCTTAGCGTGCAGTACTTCTCAATGAATTGATTTCAAATTATTTCCATCAAATTGTTTCAGTTTTCTTAGATTCAGTGAAAGGATTTGCTGGTTACATTTAGATTAACAACCTTCAGCAGCTTCAGTGTTACTTTAGAATGGGGCCATGTTTCAGTTAAAGGCTTATTTTTGTTCAGTATCAGAGCATACAATAATTTATTGGCTTAATTTCATTACAAATCTAACTTGGTTTAAATCTTCTCTTTAGATGTAACATGATAAATAAAATGGTAGTTCGATCTGTTTAGGGGACAAACACAAATGTGGAGGTGGAAGGTAGTTGGGGAATGTTAACTCACAGTCAGAAAAGTAGCCCAGTGTAGGGCGAGCCCATCTGGAAGCAGTAGTATGAGGCCTTACAATTTTAGCAGCTGAATTTCAGTAACACGCTGCTGGCTAAATTTCTAATAATCGTCTGCTCTATTTGGTCGTACTCAGGCCAGTGGTAAGAAGGCAGTCAAGTCTCAGTGGGGCTATATTTAAAACAAAACCCTACTGATTTTGCGTGTGTGTTGTTGCCTGCAATTTAAAATTGCAGTCTGTGTGTTTGGAGTGAGAAGCCAGCAGGTAAGTTGCCTACTACATTTTAAATGCCACCACACCAATTTCCTCTGATTAGAGAAAAATAAAACTCACCCCTGGATGTCTATTGGGAACCATTAACAGTGTTTGAAAATGCACTTCAAACATTACTTAATCATTAACACACAGTGATTGCTGTTAATGATGTTAATGGATGATGCACTAACACAATTTAGCTAAAACGGTAGTTAAAAGAATGTCATCTGAATATATTAGTGCACGTGAATGAATGTGGAGGGGAAGGAGAGAGGAGAATTAGTGTTACTATTGCCATAAGTAAATTTTGGTCTGAAATGATGCAAAAGCCTTGAAGTGACCTATATTTATAAACATACTGTTAGATAACAGTCCTCACCATAAAGGGATTTTCCCAATTACTGCAAGGCACAGTGTTAAAAATAGATGTTTGCATTTTTTACATGTATCAGCAAATATGTCATTTTGAGACACTGAATAATAATCTGTTTGGAAATTAGGGGTTTCCCACAATTAATGGCAGCCGCACTCTTCTGCAGTGGAAAGAATCTGAAACGCTGTTCCTTTATGTCCACACAAGCTGTGAAATTACCTAGGGCTGAATCTTATGTTTTTATAGCTAAGCCCAAGTTGAGTTGAGTTTTTTTTTGATATTTTGATGCCATGAGGTTGAGTGAGTTCTCTCATCATATTTTGCCAAACTCTCCTCATTAATTATCTAACACACCCCTACGCATTTCTTTTGTTCAATTTTTATCCCATTTCATCATGTGTCATTTCCATACCCGGATGTATCATGGACTGCAGCGGTTCAAATGGACAGCTCTCCACCATCTTCTTGAGCAACTCGGGGTGGGACCAGCCAGCAATGTTCATGTTGCCTGAGTAAGTAAAAAAAAATACTATACAGGAGGCCATCCCACCCCCATCCAGATCCAAACAGCAAAATTACATCTTCAGCAGCTCCACCATCTGCTCCACCAGAGCTCTGGTTGAGGCTTGGGCAGCAGTAAGGCTGCACGTAGTCATGGGATTGTGTAAAGCTGTCATGAGCCATTAATGCAGTGGGTATACCTTGTCTCCCAGAAAACAGCATTGTAAGGTCTGCAGATCCCCGAACATCAACTTCTCAAGAGTGCTCCAGGATGCAGAAATCATGGCAGCTGCCAGAAAAGTAGGTACATACCTCCAGGAAGTAGGACAGTGATGACACATCACCTGAACATTAATGGAATGGAATCCCTTCCTGTTGATGAACTTTGCAGTGTTGTATGACAGACCTCTTGGTGCCACATGTGTGCAATTGATGGCATCCTGCACATGACAGAACCCACCAATCTTCCTGAATCCAATTGACGGGCTGCAGCACTGACCTTGTCTTGGGGGATTCAAATTGAGTTGGTGCCAGAAAACTCTGGACCTCTGAGCATCCCATACATCCTGAGGGGCCCTTCCGTAGCTAGCTCTCCCTGAGCCAGGTGCTCCTTGTCTTCTGCAGATTCCTGCTACTGCTCCTGGCCTTGCCACCAATCCTGCTCCTCCTGCATCCACCTTTACCTTCCTTTGAATGCTGTAAGTTACACTAAAAAATTAAGAATGTCAGATAATAGAGAATGGATGCGCAGTTCAGAATCAGTAAACTTCACTTTTGAGCAAAACCTTGTGTTTTGCCCTCAGCCTTCTCATTTTCTAAACTAACAGAGAGACCAGGATTGAAAGAGGTTTCATCTCCACCCTACAAGGTTTGCCCATGAGACCAAATATTTGCAGGAGAGGCTGCAATAGACAGTGGATGTCCTCTTCAGACTGACCAAGACCTTACAATGTCTGATGAGGAAATCCCTTGTGAATCATACCCTCAGGTCACAATACTACAGTGGGAAATAATCCAAAACAAGTTCAATCAAATCTGTCAAGAATAAAAAAAGACCTGTAATGTGTTGCTATTTATTGGTATCTAGTCGAAGGTTGGCCAGACAAAAGGCCCAGTGGGTTAGCCATGAAGATTTATTTTAATCATTTCACCAATGCAGATGGCTTGTTGGTACTGGATGACAGGCTAGTTGTTGCAGCTTCACTCAAAGATGATATCCTAGGCAAATTGCACCAGAAATACTTGGGTTTACCAAGTACAGAACCAGATCTCAGACACTGATGTAGTGGTCAGGGATTCCCAAAAGAGATTGAAGGCCTCATTCATTCTGAAGAAGTCACACTTGTCTCGAAATGTTGACTCTGTTTGTCTCAACAGATGTTACCAGACCTGCTGAGTTTCTCCAACATATTCTGTGTTTGTTTCATATTTCCAGCATCCTGCAGTATTTTGCTTTTATTTAAGGGCCTCATTGCTGACTGGGAAACTTGTGCTATTTATAGACCTGAACACACACCACTACTGATCCTCAGTTCTTACTACACCAGGCCATGGGAATGAGTGGGAACTTACCTATTTATGTTTGGCAGTCCTTATTCTAGTGCCATGGAATGTACTTCCCCCACTGGAAGTTAAAAAGATTTTATACTGTGACCATGAATGCAGTTATCGGGGTCTTTTGTGAAATGTTTACTACACATGGGATCCGTAGTCATATCTGACAATGACACAACTTGATGGGTTTTTTAGTCAGTATACAGCCACTTCTGGATTTCAACAAGTAACCAGCTTCCCAAGATATCCACAATCAAATGGAAAAGCTGAACAGGGGGTACAGATGATCAAATCCCTTTAGAGAAAAGTTATCGACTTTTATACAGCATTGCTACATTACTGGGCCACCCAACTCCAGCGTGGGGTGAAAACTGAATACTTAACTTCACGATGTATCAAAAAGACTAAATTTATAATACAGTCCAAAAGACTGTAAAAACGTTTCTAAAAAGTCCAAAATTAGAGTGCATAGTTTAAAGTAAGAAGGGTAAGATTTTAAAAGGACCTGAGGGGTAACATTTTCACACAGATGGTGGTGTGTGTATGGAACAAGCTGCCAGAGAAAGTGGTGGAGGCAGATACAATTACAATATTTGAAAGGCATCTAGATGGGTATATGAATAGGAAGGGATCAGAGGGATGTGGGCCAAATGCTGGGAAATGGGACGAGGTCAGATTGGATTGTCTGGACAAGTTAGACCGAAGGGTCTGTTTCCGTGCTGGATGGCTATGGCTCTATGAACAGTACTGTCGGCAGCTATGATAGATGTCACCATACATAATGGTTACCAGACCTGGAACAATGGCATTGGGTACGGAGAAGGGACCTCAAAAGGAGTGGTACGGTGTGCAAGAGTTGATGGACTAGCAGTAATTGTACATTGTCCATATAGTGAGGATAGTTGTGGAGAGGAAACACAGGAACCTTGTCTCACCATTACCATTAGCCATTAACATTTCATGTTGTTTTTCAGACTGTTCAGAGATGTCATCTTACACCTCTGGAGCAGGTTGGGGACTTGAACCTAGGCCTCCTGGTTCAGACCAATAGCATTCCATTGAGATGAAACTAACGAGGAACGTCATGACAGTAATTGTTCACAGACCATTCAAGATGAAGATTAGAATCAAGATCAAAACAATCATCACTCCAAAGATCCACCAGTCTTCCAAGTCCAAAAAAAAAACACTTTCCAGAAGGATTATGAGATGCTGAGATTGCTCCGAATTTGAATTTGAGTTTGAATTTGTGAAGTCAGAGATTTTGGAGTGTATTGGTAGGGATAAATATAGTACAGTTATATACATTAATGTATTCTGGGTTAAAACTAAAGGAAAACTAAAGGAAGATGTTATACAAAATAATCATTCCAAAAGATTAATGTTTGAGGTATACTGACCTCTGCCCAGTCTGTGCTGTACACAGCCTCTGGGTGAAGAATCAGCTAGAGTCTAGTCACATGTCTAAGAATGAAGTAATGTGTACAAAATTACTGTAATGTAATAAACTATATCTTATCATGAAAAATAAGTGCTCTTCTGGCGATACAAAATGATGGTCTATCCTCCAGCACAGGCCACTGAAAGACCCTTAGATTAGTATATGGAGGAGGATTGGTAGCAGCTCTCTACTCCAACTACAAACTACTAGTGGTTGGTACCCAGGCATCATATCATATAATAACAATAGCTACAATATCTTGAAGTGCACTTGCTAAACTGGGAGATGATACTTCAATATAATCACTGATCCTCTCTTAAAAGACAATCATTGATGGATAAGAAACATTGCAAAGAGATCTCAATCTGTAAATCTTATCTGTAGGTCTGGAGAAGGAAGCAGCCTTTCACTGCCAAAGATGCATGGGCACATCATTGCTCTTGATGATGACAATGAGAGATGGACTTAAGCATGCAGTCTTCAATGTCACTGGCAAGAACAATCTTCATCCTGCAGACTTTCCTATAGATGGTACAAGTGCACAAAAGCAGACATAGCACAATTTTGGGTATATATTTACAAAGTTCTAAACTGTGATATTTACAGGGTGAAATGAAATGTTACTATTGTGAACCCAGTAAGGTAAAATGGCACCAGCCCCCCTTCCAAGTGTCCTCCCATGTGACCTCAGACAAGGTGAAGACAAGCTGCTCAACTGTTGTATCGTATGGCATTGAGGAGCGTGGTGGACAGCATCATCATGCAGGTACCTTAATTCAGTCTGCAACCTCTATATTTCAAAGGTGGCAGTTGTCACTGGCAGAAGTAGAACAGATGAGAGCTCTGGCAAAAGGGTTGGGGAGCTGGCAGAAGATGAAGGTGCTGAGATGATTTCAGTTTCTTGACCCTGCTCATTCATGAATTCACAGCCCTAAGTTGGCTTTTAGTGGATTTGGTGGGGCTAGCTTCTGGGCAGTCATCCATTCCAGCAACATTATCCAACCCTGCAAACATCCTGTGAAGGAAATGCAACTCCCCATGTTTTTGATGACTGTCAGTGCTCATCCTCAGAATGGACAGCTCCAAACTACTGAGTGAGCCCTAACCTTTCCACAGACATATATGTTGCTGTGGCATGTATTCCAAGTGATGCAGCATGTATCACTCCGTGAGATTGGCCATTGTCTTGTGGTTGAAGCCATATGGTCATGTCCCTCAGACAAGATGGAATTTATCACTGCAATGGACTCCTCCATTTGCATGAATGAGCTCACATGCTGTTTGAAAACCACATTTAGGACTGATGGTTTAATTACTGTGCTCTCAATAGGCTGACTCCTGAAACTCTCCCTCCTTGCCCACTGGAGCATCATGGTGAATTTCCACCTCCTTGAAGGGGAACTGTTCACAGATGTCTCCCTTGTGGATTCTGCTGTGATGCTGTTCACTACACAACCTTGATTTTAAATATACACTATATCCCTCTGATGTGCTTGTATTTGTGCTGGTTGAATATCAGCAAATCACATGTGAGTCTGACTTCTCAGATATCTCTTCCTTCTCCTGAAGCCCAAGGGATGAGTTGGCAAAGGGTAAGGGGGGAGTGGGCAATAGGGAGGTGAGTTTCTGTGAGCAGTGCTGGGAACAACATGAGACATTAATAAGAAATGAGAATGAGATGTAACCTTTCATATTGTGAAGCACGTTTTGACACATGCCCTCACATTCAATTATAATGTCATCCAAGCCAATTTTTACACACCCTCTCATATCAGCAACTTCTGCTCAGCGAACTACAACCACCATTACCACTATTTCAAAGATGCCTCTAGCATCTGCAATAGACAAAATTCTCCATCCTTAACAAACTGCCAAGCTAGCAGCACCCTTGCTACCTCCGCCCCCTCTCATCCACTTTCCACATTGCTCATAGGCTCATGCACCTATGCTTTGCCAAGCCATCCCCATGCACCCTCTTTTCATGCACATACAACAGAGAGTGATGTTGGCCTAATATGTATTTCCACCAGGGACAAATATCGTGAATGTGGTAATGTATGACATCTCAGTGTGTACCTACAGGAGTGGCTTAGATATTTCATCGAGAGGACATGGCAGTGGAGTAGGCTCCTGAGCCAGAGCTCGTCTACTCCATCCAATTGTTTTCTTCTTTTTCCTCTTTTAGTTTTCTCTTTTCTTCTATTTTTTCTCTCTACTACCTCCATTCCTTGGAGGGCATCAATGATGGATGGTTGATCAGGCACAGAAACAAGGGACTCCAGTTCTCAAGGAAGCCCAGCATGGACTCCAGGTCTCGAGGAAGCCCAAAATGGACTCCGGATCTTGAGGAAGCCCAGCATGGACTCTGGGTCTTGAGGAAGCACAGCACGGACTCCGGGTCTTGAGGAAGCCCAGCGTGGACTCTGGTTCTTGAGGAAGCCCAGCGCAGACTCCTGGGCTCACGGAAGCTCAGCTTGTACCTCTGGCCTCCTCGAGGAAGCCCAGCACATATTCCAGCCTTCTCAAGGAAGGGTGAGCTCCTGGACCCCTTGAGGAAGCCCACTGGGGAGTCCTGGGCTCAAGGAAGCCTAGCACGGAGCTCTGGCCTCCTCGAAGTAGCCCAGCTCAGACTCCTGGCCTCGACGTGATGTCCACTGTGGGCTCCCTGCTTTAGAAAAACTTGTTGAACTTTTATCTTTTTTATTATTTTTCTAATTTATACCTAAGATTTTGTACCTAGGTATCTTTATACCTAAGATGGTGATGGAAACAGCAACTTTGCACACTTTTCACTGTATTCATGTATCCTTGTACTTGAGTACATGTGACAATAAACCTAATTCTATTCAACATTCTTCTCTTATAACACAGAGGAATTATGTGCCAGGTCACCTATAACAGGTGTAGAATTCACTTGTGAACAGCACTTGGACCTCAGTGCTTGTGCTGAAAAACTTACCATGCTGGAGTGCAGTAGGTTATGGAACCCTTTCCTGCATTGCACCCGTGAACTTCCACTATACCCTGCTATATTCATTTGGCAGGTCATCCTCTGCATTGGTTGCTACTTGGAAGTTTTAGCAAACATTATCTTTCACATAAAACAATTTAGGATCTGGAGATTCCCAGTTGCTGAAGTGGGGCACATCCCCTCCCATTTCTTCCGACTATCCCTTAGGTGAGATATTCTTGAATGCAAAGTAGAACAAAAAGTTCCAGCTTCAAATGGTCGTACACATGTCCACTTATACATATGAACTATCTTCCCTATCTCATCAATGTTTTATGTTGGGTTGTTGTGGAAGAGGGATGAAAATGGAACTGGATGAATGTCTGTGGCATTTGTTCCTATCATTCTCACTATTTTAAACTGAACAATTTAGTTTAGCAAAATAAATATTGGAAGAATAAATAAGTCACACCATTGTATGTATTATTTACCCACTATTATTTTAGATTTAAACTGAAAAGCCTAAGTCTGCCAATACAAAACGTAAAAATATACAATTGTATATAGATTCAACAAAAACAAGTTTGTTTGACCTCAAAATTCCAGCAATGTCAGAATCATTAAATCCTAAGCCATTCAAACAGTCTGACTTCCAGGCACACAAACATAAGAGGATTAAGGTAAGTATCCCACCTAAAAGCCTGCAAAAACAAAGCTTATTTTCAAGACCTAAAGAAAGCAAATGAAACACTAACTTAGAAATCTCAAAGAATGGTTCAGTTCCTCTTAGCAAAATTGAAGTATCAAATGAAAAAAACACCTAAAGGTGTTTAAACCAGAGTTACCGATAGTTTGCTAATTGCCCTGTAACTAGTTACAGTCTAAGCCTGGAATTTCAAGAACCCCTGACTTCCATTTCTCATGGATAGAATTAAGTATGCCAGGAAGAAAAATTTCTTTTGATCATCTAAAAGCAAGATCCACTTGACTTAAAAAGAGTAACTGCCAAATTCTTTCTCTTCTTCAAATGAAAGTTATGGTTCAGGAAGCCAGATTCATGGTAGCATTTCATTTAATTCAAAGTAGCAACCTTTAGCAAGGCTATTAATACTATGTGGAAACATTGTAGAAAAATCAGATGTATGGATAACTGAAGAATTCTTGAGGGAAATTCAGGCGTCAGAACAGCTTAAATATAGTGTAAATCCCTTTCTGATCTAAGATTTCCAAAAACCTTACAACGAATGACCTATCAACTAAACAAAAGGGCAAACTAGGGAATACTAAATTCCCTGGCAAAGTACGTCTCAACTTACAACCACTGACTGCAACACTGATTAAAAGAATATGAAGGATTACAGCATGTGACATAGAAGTTTGAACAACCATGGTTGAATCACAGGATTTTAGGAGGAGTTACATAGATTTTCCTTATATGTGGTGGCCAATTCAATTTTATAAGGCGAATATAGGGTGAGGTGCCAAGTGTAGGAGATTAGAAATAAAATCAGGTGAGAAACAAGAAATTAACAAGGTGTTGTAAATAAAAAAATGATGCACAGGGATTGCAATACCAAAGGAATTAAGCATTTTTGACTGCTTTAATAAAATAATATTGAAGTCACAGGGAAACATGGATTTTACATGGGCAAGTTACGAGAATGAAATGGGACTAGAAGCAACAAAAAGAGCAGTCAATCAGTCCCATTGGTTTTGTAATAGCCTTCTCTGATACATTTTAAAATTAGCTTAAAAAAACTATTTAACTGCACAAATTTTAGAAATGTTTGTAAACGCTGTGTTATAAAATTCAGAGCAGTTGAATAACTTGCATGGTCCCTGCCTGTTTAGGGTCAATTGTGTCCATACTTGCGTTTGTCGATCAGGCAAAATATCTCAATTACTATCTCCCAGATGAGCCTGGACCTTGTCATGCACTGCTGACAATCTGCGCTAGAACCCGTTATTAGTCATACTTGTACTATTCCCTACGTGATTCAGGGTGCCTGATTATTTTCCTTCAGTTCCATCTGAATATATTTGCTTATGGCCACTGAACCTATGGTTTGAGGCAAAAAAAAAAT